GAGGAAAAGATGGAGGAAAAGATTGAGGAAAAGAAGGAGGAAAAGATGGAGGAAAAGATGAAGGAAAAGAAGGAGGAAAAGATTGAGGAAAAGATGGAGGTAAAGAAGGAGGAAAAGATTGAGGTAAAGATGGAGGAAAAGAAGGAGGTAAAGATGGAGGAAAAGAAGGAGGAAAAGATTGAGGATAAGAAGGAGGAAAAGATTGAGGAAAAGAAGGAGGAAAAGATGGAGGAAAATGCAGCAACAGAGGATGAATCAGAGAATGAAGTAGAACAAACAGATTCAAGAACAGACACAAAAGCAGAAACATTAATCCTGACGTTACCTGAATGCCTCCAACAACAACAAGACAAGGATGAAGTAGCAGACACAGAAACTGAAGCAGTAACACCAGTTATAGAAAACACAGGGACAGAGTTAAGAGAAGCTTTTGCTCACAGTTCAGAGGAAGAGTCTGTTGAGGTAACATTTGAACCCACACAGGAAAATGACTCAATCATTTTGACTGTTCACTCAGAGGAACAGGTTGATAATGATCAGTCACAAGCAAGGGAGACACAAACTGAAACTCAGAAAAACATAGAGACTAATGATTCTGTCACATCTACGGTGAAGGAGGAGACTTTACAGCAGGATGAAGCAGTGAATGGCATTGCTAAGCCTGATGGGAAAATGAGTTTGGTGGAAACGAGTGTCTCTGAGGAGCCTGTACCTGAGGATCCGACAAGTCGGGTCACTATAGGTCCTTCAGAGGGGAAAGAAAAAGAGGAGGAGGTCTTCATTTCTACTCCTAACGTGACAGACAATCTACATACAGACAGCAACTCACAGAGACACAGTAAAAATGATTTTCCGACTGAGCCGAATAATGGTGGCCTGACACAAGCCTCTGGGCGCCGTGGTAGCCGGTCTTCAGGTGATTTCTGTGTCCGCAAGTCTTCCAGCAACCACGGGTCCAGGTTAGCACGTAAGCTCTCCACAGACCTCTTCACTGCCCCACAGAAAACGAGTCAACCACAACCTGTCCCTGATGAGGTTAAACACAATGAATCACAGCCCAAATCTAGAGAGGTAAACACAACCCAAACGTCCCCTGATGCGACTCAGTCTTCTGAAGTCACCTCGTCATTGACTGTGACAGAGAGCACAGCGAAAGAGCAGGAGCCACCTGCTGCCACGAAACGATTTGGTTTCTTCCGCCGACTGAGAGGAGAGCAGCCCAAAAAGACAAAGGAAAAAAGTGCACAGAAAATGCAAGTCCCTAAAATCTTGATTCAGGATTTCAGTGATGAAACAGGGACGGGGATACTGGTTCAGGAAGAAGGCGAGGAGAAACTTACCTCTAGAGAGAGACGGAGGATGCGGCGGGAGCGAGAGAGAAGAGACAAAGAGGAGGAGAAGGCGAGAAAGAAGAGAGTGAAGGAGATGGAGCGAGAGAGGAGGAAACCGCAGACTAGGGGTAAAAGTTTTCAAGCGCAAAAGGAGAAAGGTAGAAATGATCCTAGTCAACTTGCAAAGACTGGCTCACAGACACTTCAATATTCTGCCTCTTACACTGACACTTACTTTTAACAAACATTTGTAATAGCAAGTGGAGGGATTAGAGCTGAAGCACAAAGTTGAGGTTAACATTAAGATGTTTAAATTATCTGCATTAGGATAAATGCTGCATTTAGCCGATGCCATATTTTTGCTGCACCTTATTACTATGTATTCCAGATCTCATCCTGGTTAAAGAAGCAGCCATTTCCGTTATCCTAAATCTTTGGAACATTTCTTACATGAAAATAAATAATAAATGATGTTGACATAATTTGAAAAATAGCTGTGTTTTATTCTGAGAGACATTTTTTTTTCTGCACCTTGATCACAAACCGAAGAGACTCCACAAACAGAAAAAAACAGGAAGTGCTTCATGTCTTCTTTCACATGATCCCAGGTTTCCACCATTAATATTCTGAAGTGATAAAAAAACAAGGCAATAAAGATGAAAATAAAGATCCCGGATGTCCATGTCTGCACTTTCAACTCGTTCAGGTGACACAGTCTAACAGAAATAAAAGTGGAAACAAATGCACCCACTTTCAGGTCAGTCCATCTCTCTCGGGCCATATTCCATCAGTCCAGTGTTACTCTCCTTGTGTGTCATCCTCACTGTCACTCGCCAGCACTTCCTGATTCGTCACTGGTTGAGTGCTCATCTGAGAAGACGGGGGGAGCACAGACCCAAAGAACAAGGAACAGAACTGTAGGATGACAAGACAGGAGGGAAAGATATTACAGGACTGTTCAGTGTTTTATCTAAATGTTAGAGACAAAATGTTTGTGTAACCTCCTGTTATTTGTCACGTGGGTGAGGCTTAGTGCAGGTACAGATTGTTTACAGTAGGTTTAGCAGTTCAGTTGGCATAGATGCTATGACAGTAAATACAAATGTTTTATTTAATTATACCTCAAACATGGCACACTTGCATTTGGAGCACCTTGGGCATTAGTCTGATGGAATGCCAGTGTTATCCAATTAGAGCACAAGAGTATACCAGGGGTGGAGAAGGCGTGAGACAGAAATTTGCAAATGGAGAGCTTTTACTTTGAAAAAACATTTTGACATTTGATCGACCCATGACTAAACTATACCTTCTTATTAGGTGGTCTGTCTGAATTGTCTGTTTTATCTTCCTCCTCCTCCTCTTCTTCACTGTGTATCCTCGTCCTGTGATTGGCTGCGACAGGCTGTTTTGAATATGTGGATGTAGCTAATGGGGGAGTTGTCGGACCTGTAAACGAGGGACCCGGTGCAATGCTGGTATCCATGGCGATGAGATAGGAGTCTATGTCGTCGTTCATGAAATCATCTGGTGGGGGAGGAGGTGGTGTGTGTGCTCTGAGAGGTGGAAGAGAATTAAGACACAAATTAAGAAGAGAAAAGTAATATTGATTTGTCTAACAGCTGCTAAAAAGCAAAAAAGGCACAGCTTGTGGTGCTTACTACTCATGGGGATGACTTCTTTGGTCCCAATTTTATGGAGACACAAACACAGGCACTCTTTTTAAAGTCACAGACTAATGTGCACACACCTGCAGTCTTTGGTCAACTGTCTCTCCACTCAGGGGATGTAATTGTCCACCAGGTGGCGCTGGAATCCTCGCAGAGTGAATGCTATAATTTCCTGATTTCAGTTGTGCCATTGGCCTTTTCATAGACTGATGTGAAAAAAATCGAACATGTTGAGTTGAGTTTTACCGTCGAGTGTTGTCTTTACGTTGGTTGGGATCATCAGAGAGTGTGGCGAGCACAAAGTTCCCCTCCAGGACACTGTCTGTTACTGAAAGCACCACAGGGCTGAAACACACACAAACACACATTGTAAATATCAGTATATTGTAACACAAGCGATCGTATGATATCTGTATGTGTGCGAGTATACTTACCTTCCCGGTTCATCAAAGTATATAGAAATAGGGAGATTGGTGGACTCTGCAAACACTAACAAACCCTAGAGGAGAGACGACAAGAAATGACCTAAACTTCTTTCATGCCATAGGTAGAAATCAACCAATCAGCTGACCACAATATATTTAAGCCGCCTCCACTTGCTTTTAATGTCCATAAAGGATTTCTCACCCGTAATTCCTTCAGACAAAATGTGATGCTGTTGTGAGCTCGGACGGCAAAATGGTCAAACTCGTCTGCTGCTAGACACAGCTCTGTCTGCATGGCCTTGGACAGCTCTGAGAGGAAGAAACACATGAGTGAATGGAAAATAAAGGCATTTCAAAAAGAAATCAAAACAAAAATATGACGTATTCTCAAATTCTATTGCGGTTAAAACTCAATTTTGAACAACTATTGACTAATGGTAACAAACACTGAACAGTGTAATTCTGTAGTTTTGCCTTTCTACCACACAAAGGCACCACTGAGTTCATATCCATCCCCTCTCTCTTTGCATCATCTCTCCATGTCATTAAAAGCATATTTTTTAATATTAGAAAGCTGTTTCAAAAACTCAGTGACTCATTAGGGATGCAGGATTATTTCCATTTGGTTTTTCTTCTTTTTTGGAAACCTGTTGATTTTCTTTAGTAAGTCAGTCTGTATCTGCCTGGGGAACAAAGAGACAACTACATCACCTGCTTCGTCATCCACATGATTCCTGAACCACATCCGATCATCACTCACTGCCACAGTCACTTCTTCCAGAGACGGAGGGAAATGAACAACTGTGTCCACCAGCAGCCTGAGAGTGAGGGAGCCCAAACAGAATGTGAACGTGCACACGAAGAAGGAAGACAATGAGCTACATTACATTAACAACTTAAATTCCAAACCAACGTCAAATGTAACAGAGAGGGTCCTGGATAGAAAGCAGCAGACAGACGAAAATAATATTTTTATAATGAAAAATGCAGAAAGATCACACATACCTGGGCTGGGCCATAAACACATTGGCACAGCTCTCCTTATCAAACACTGCCTGTAAGCTTTCACTGTCCTGGAAAGACAGGTTATGTGTCTTAAGCAGGCCTGTGGAGAAAATAATGACACTCAGACTCTTCCACACAGAATAAAAAGCAATGATGCATGATGTGCTACAAAGAATAACACAGGTGTCAGAGTAAATGAGATAACTGTAATGAAATCATCCATGGAAAGAACCCGTGAACCATCTGAGGAGGAAGTGAGGCTCTGATACCATGTTTGCAGTGCAGGGTGAAGGTGAGGCGGTTCTTCTTCTTGTCCAGCTCGATGTGACATTTTTCCACCGTCTTCTCGAGAGACGCCAGAGACCTGAACACGGCCTGCACGCTCTGAACCACGCAGAGAGGAACATAAGAGGGAAAAAACTGTATTTGCAATAAATGTGCACTTTAATTGCTAAAATCTTCAACTGAACAGTTGACCCACATTTGCATGCAACAATACAACTGCTTGGTAATACACATTCTGCCTTTTGAAATTGCTGCCATAACCACAGAGCAGAGCAGGAAATATAGTCTTTGAAGTCAAGTACAGAGAAATGTGCTGGTTCTGCTCTGAATCACGGAAACTGGATCACTCATAACCAGAAATGATTTGATGAAAAAGAAAATGTCCATGTAATAGAGCTTCAGGGGGAAAACACAACATATATAGGATAAGAAAATGGCAACAAGTTGTTTTGTGCTGATCCACGTATACTGAATTTGTTGTAACATCACACGCAGTCTGAGCTTAAAAACTAGTGAGCATGAAGCAAGAGAGGCAGCATGAATGCAAACTCAGCTAGAATGACTAAAAACAAGAAAAAATTAGTCCAGGACTAAACACTGACTGCATCACTAGGTCTTGTATGACGAGAACATTGTATTATTACAAAGACGGCAGGTGATGAATGTTTTAAACATTACTCATTTCACAGTAGAAGAACAATGGCTGGTGTCTGTCTCAGCACCTTTATAGCCATCTTGCAGCGGAAGTCCTGCCCAGTGGGGATGGTGTACCTGTGAGGAATGTGAGGGGAAGTTGGATTAAAGCTCTGACACAGACAAATGTTATGCACACTCACTCACTCACACACTCTCTCTCTCTCTCTCTTTATCTCTCTTTATCTCTCTCTCACCCACACACACAGTCTGTACCTGCTGAAGAAGAGGGGTGCGAACAGGAAGCAACCATATGCAGACCGAGAGGAGTTGACAGACCGCAGGGCCAGCTTCAAGAGAGAGAGAAAAACAAATCAGCTATTTTCATTGACATCAACATGAAGCAACAAGATATGTGCACGACAAGAGGAAGTGTTGGTGCGTCAGTATCTCAGCAGCTCACCCCGTCGTCCTGAGGCTCCACATACAGCTCATCCCCGACCCTGGACAGAGAGTGGATGGCTTTGGCCAGAACTGGACGGTACGTACACGTACACGTGTACACACACGTACACGTGTACACACACACACACACACACACACACAATCATTATTAACAATTCATTTATTCAATATCTGATGTTGTTGTTAACACAGGACTGAAAATACCTTTCACGTTTCCTCCCGTCACGACGCAATCCATCTCTTCAAACTACAGCTCCTACTTTTCCGTTAGGTTAGCAAACTCGGCTAAAAGTTAGCAGCTCTAGCGCTCAAACACCAGCGCAGAGTGAACCAGCGGTGGTTCAATTGTTTTCACATCGGGTAAAAATCCTTCGTGTGTCAAAATCATACTCTGTTTTGTTCTAGTGTTATTTTAAGATTACTTCCGATGGAGGCTCGACTGTTGCTGTTGCCCGCACCAGTCAAGCGTTGTTTACGCCGCCATTGTCCGCTTCCGCCCTGTGGACCAATCAGAGAGACAGGAAGTCGAGGGGGCGTGGGTGATTACGCACATGCGCACTGGGTGCATAAAAAAACTGTCATAAGAAAAACCACCTAAAAAGAAATGTCCCCTTCAATCATCCTTTATGAATAATACAACAATAATATTTTACATAAAACAATATTTTAATAATAAAAAGATAAACTAAATAATTTAAATGATCTGAATCAGCTTTACCCCAGTTGCTAACACTTAAATATAGTTTTGTAATGAATTAATAATGATAATTTAGGAATAATACATTAAAATATTTTTAAATAGAGAAAAAATAGTTGGAAATAAATAAGTGTTGGAATATAATATAAAGTAACTAGAAGGTGGCTAATGTCAAGAAATATTATATAGTTTGTTTGTCACTTCTTTTAGTTCAAATATTGTAGATTTCATAGTTGATATGATTTTGCTTATTCCAAAAGTCTTTGCAAGCATTTTCTATTTCTTTAAATCTGAAGACACATAAATAGCAGCTGCTCTAAAACGCCCTGTAATTACCATGCAAGAGTGGGAAGAGAGACTGTGCGTGTGTACGTGTGTGTGCACATGTGTGTGTAAGGAGTTGGGGAGAGAAGTAGGATGGAAGGAAGGGCAAATAGAAAGATGGGCAGATAGACAGAGAGAGAGAGTGAGAGAGGGAGTCACTGCCAATGCACAATTATCTCACCTCACTGGTCTTTCTCGTTGGTCTGCTTCAGTGTGTAAGTTCAGAGGAACGTTGGCGCCTCCCATCACAGTGACAGAAGTGGCTGCTGAAGAAGACGTGTGACGACTGAAACCGTGGACATTTAATTCAAACTGAGACTTAAAGAGGACACAGGAGGACTGCTGCTGAAACATTTGAGGATTATGGAGGAGTGGGATCAGTGTGAGAGTGACACATCTCTGAGAAGAAGCACAGGCAACAAGGAAAAAGACACTTTTCTATCCTAACTGAGGGAGTGATGTGTTATAAGAAATGGATCTGTGTAGATATTTGCTATGAACAACTGTTAAGAGAGTAATGGAAAAAGATTGGGACATGAAAAAAGAAAGAAATAACCACCACAGGAGGGTTAGCCCTTGACAGGGAAGTTGGACACAGGCGTGATGTGTTTTTTTTTTTCTGCAAACAGTTTCTTCTGTCATGGTCTGCAGTTTCGTTTTAAAGCATCATCACACAACACTGTGAGGAATCTCATTGTTGACATGCTTTTCTCTGACTTTTGGTTTTGAAACACAGCAATTTCAGTTCCTAGATGTCTCAGTCACATAATCCCACAGACTCTCAGGGCTTGTTGCAGTCCATGCTGCAGAGACTGAGGCTCCAGCCAGGAAGCCCCGGGCCCATCACAGCTGCCTCCAACCACCCTGTCAATGGCTTAGAGCTCGGTACCAATGGAATCGTTTCGAATGAGTTTGGGATCTCTGCTGTCAACGATTTAGTCATCAAAGGTGGGGAAATACAGCAAGCACGTGATGGCTGTGGAATGGACAGGGGTCTTGTTTCCTTCCCCTCCCAGAAGGAGAACAGTGATAAGGACAGGGGTGAGAACAGGGTGTTGGGAGAGGCCACATCACCTCAGATCACCCCGGCTGGAGCAGGGCAGTCGTTTCCTGTTAAGTCTCTTGAAGGGGCTGATATCACTTCCTTTGAGGAAACTGATGGGGAAAGGGGGACTTTTGGCAGTTTGGCTATGACAGGGCACGATCGTGCTCTCCCAAACTCAGGACAGAATCAGGAATCAAGTTTTACACCTAAAGTCTACATGTGGTCGTTGAAGCCCACAGACGCTAATGTTGACACAGGAAGTCAAGAGAGTAAAGTGTTTCATGTGGGAAATGGGGGAATTGGAGCTTCGCCACAAAGTAAAGACATTCAGTTTGTTGGCCAAACGACAACTAACAGCAGCTCAAGACGAAAACAGCGATCGTCTGAGAATAAGACAAGGAGATGGACACAGAAGATCAAGGAGAGATGGTTGGACAGGCGGGGTTCTGGCAAAAAGGAGAAAGAGGATGGAGGGAGAGTTGACCTGAACAGTGAGCAGGGAACTGAGGTGAGTAGTTTATTTACATTATACTTTGGATTATATTCTCTATTTGTCAAACATAGTGAAACTGCAACTCCCTTCACAGATTTCACCTCAGAAGCAGCTGCTGCCAGCAGAAAATCTCATCATTACATCACATAAAGAAGAAGAAGGGACCCGGGTCTCATCAGATAGCTGTGAAGCCCTTCCACCACAACAGGACGACAGCGGTCTCGAGGAGCGTTTCAGGTGATCAAACACCAAAACCACAGCTGTAGTCAGCCCGACACAAGCTCCAGTTCTCACAGTTTGGTTTTGTTATTATGTCTCTAAGCTCTAAAGCGACACCAGAAAGATATGTGAGGTATTTCTGAGCCATACCCACCCATAGCTGTGGAGTTAGTATGGGCTCCTCTCACTGACAGCACCTATGATAAGAAGCGTCATGGTATTTTAATAACATGTTTTATATCATGAATTGGATGCTGAGGTAGATAGTACTGTATGTGTATCGTTCTAATAAGCAGCACACAGGCTCCCCAACAAACTGAGTCTGCTGCAACATATGAACACCACATGCTGAGAGCAACAAAACAAGTCAGAGAAAAGTTGGAATGGCAGAAGAGAAACTCAGCCAAAATACTGACAATTCCTGTTTGCTCTGTACTGTGTGAAATAAATAATGCAGCAACATCCACTTTGATATAGTTAATAATGTTTAATATCAGTAAAGGTAAATAAACACAGTTTGAACAGGCTGTTTCGTGTTTGTAGCGGAGTATTTGAACTCATCTGAAAGGGCTGTGGGTATACGTCAGACATAATGGGTTAGAAACCTCATGTTTGGACTATTTATGGTGCAGGACAGTACTCGAGGGATTTAGTCAAGTTGCACTGCTGATGTTCATTACAATGAAGGGACACGCTGGCAAAGATGTGGCTCTTTAATGTGTTTTTGGACATTCAGGTTTAATGGCACGGAGGAACAAGACATCAGGCTGGGTAGAATCAATCTATTCTTAGTTTTCTTCATCTCATATGATTTGTCTTCATGTTGTTTACAGGCCTTCTAGTGACTTTGAGTTTGGCCTGGGTTCATTCAGCCTCCTGGAGGAGATTGTCACGGGTCAAGAGTGGGCCAGGTTCCTTAACCCCAACCTGCCATGCGCCTCAGCCAATCAGAGACCACCAGAAGAGCCGCCGAGCCAAATCAAAAGCCCCCCCAATCCTTATGACTGCCGTCCGTCATCTCTGATTTTGAACCAACAAGGAGGTGGGACCAACCTGTGGAGCTTCGGTGGCACTGAGTCACCACCAGGTTCAGATTTCAGCGTGGCGCAGATATCACCTGATAGATATTCCCAACCTGTGAGCATGGACGTCTCAGAGGGAAAACAGCTGCAGTACGGTGACGGAGCAGCTGATCTGTCAGAACCAATGGAGGAGTGGCAGCCTGGAGAGAGAGGACGGGGGCAGCAGCAAAGACCTCCATCCTATGTAGAGGTTAGATATCATTTATATCATTTACATTAAAAGAATTGGATCCTTCTTCCAATTCATATGTTTTAATAATGATTATAATAACAATAATTCATTTTATTTAAAGGTCCATTTAGGTGAAAGGGATATATTGGCAGAAACTGAATATAAAATAATTAATTTCATGTTTGAAAAGGGAGGGTGAGCTGATGGGTATTATATACAATAATAGGGTAATAAAATCAACAGATGTGTGAATTAGTGAGTAGTCTGAAGAATGAGATGAAAGAAAACCAGAAAATACCAGTTTTTGTGAGAGTGGCTCACCTTGTCGTCTGGTTGTCAAACGCAGCGTGCAGATATTCTGGACAACCCGACACTGAAGAGAGTCCTCCTGAACAGAAAGAGACAACACCAGGCAGCTCACAGAGACGAGAGGCTGGCCACTGTAACAGGTAATGGAGGAGACGCAGGCAGGGGTCACTTATTGCTCTGTAAAATCAAATATTTCAATCAGGTGAAATGTTGTCATGTGCCGCAGACACATTTTTCTGACACTGTTCCCGAGAATTAAAAAGCTCACTTCTCTCTGTTGTCTCTTCTTTTATAGGAGCATCTGCATCTTCACTGAGTATGACCAGCAGCCATGTGATGGTTGAAACAGCAGAGTCGCAGCATAATGTTCTCATGCCTTTAAACCCCCTGAACTCTCCTCCCGCCCCTCTCTCTCCATTCAAACCCTTCGCTCCTGCACCTCGGGGTGTCCTCAAAAACTCCCTATCCCTTGATTCAGAGCCCTCGATGGAAACAGTGACAAAAAGGGTGAGATATTAGGTATCACAGCGCCTGCTTGTGGCTTGAAAGATATTATCTACACAACGGGCCTGTGTCCTGCATTCATACCACATACTAATTCTAAACCTTGATTTATTAGAGTCCTGGTGACACAATTCTCCCACAATGCAGCTGGTGAAAACAAGCACACTAACCAGAGAAAGGAAATTACTTTTAATTCAAATATTAGCTTTTTTTTCTCTGAACTTTAACTTTATTTGTTTGGTTAAATCTTGAATATTTACCTAATGAAGAAAAAACGAAAGGGTCTTTAGAGATACGCTTTATTTAAATCCATGTGAATATTGACTCATTGTTTGTATAAAAAACTTATATATGTTGAATTTTCTATTGTTATATATATTAATTGGTTTTAAAGACTCCACATTACATGTGCAGTGATATGGATCTGATGATTGTACCATCTCAAACCAAATGTATTACTTATTGGTACCAAATTACATGGTACTTTCAAGGAATTACTAATGATTAAACTGTAGTAAAATATAGAGCAAATGAAAGAATTTATAACGGTAAAAAAGTAGTATAATTAACTTTAACTTTTTGTTTCCATTTCATTCTATTCATCTTCTCTGGATCAGAGGCGAGTTGAGGAGAATCGCAAGGTTCATTTTGCAGAGGAGGTGATTACCATAGACCCTCCGGAGCTGGATGCATATGCTGTAGAGTCTGAGGATTCTGGAGCAGAGGACGACTCTGTGATCGAGCAGGAGTGTGAGGTGGAGACAGAAGAGGAGGTGGCAGCAGCAGCAGCAGCAGCAGCAGCAACAGCAACAGCAACAGCTCGACGGTCTACCCTCCCTGCCTGGATACAGGCACTAAAGAGGAGCCACGCTGGGAGGAAGCACAGATTGTAACAGATAGAGAAACTGCATAATATCAACATTTAGTCTCATACATGTTTCCCTTTCAAAATGAAAAAAGTTTGAGATAGTTTGTCTCAAATGAACTTAAAGTGGTTTGAAAATGTTTTTTTGAAATAAATGATATATATATATTTTAACATCAGGCCAATTGCAATAATATTTCTAAAAACCATGAAATAAATGACATGAGAGTCTCACAATCCAGCTTTTTGGTTATTTGTTTTCTGAAAGATATTATTTTGAGACTCGGAAGGCCATGGACATTCACAGCATATAGGGCTAAAGTTGCCCTCTTTAACTGAGCTGCTCTTCTGGAGAAAAAAATGTTTTGTTATTATTGTGGCTGCATAAATATGATATCGTATGCATCAAGGAGACCAGAAGGTGGAACAATATACAAATGCTAACAGAGTAACATGAGCCATTGTCACCCCCAAGTCTGAAGATGTCTCCCACAGCATCCCAGTATTTCTTCCTCGACTTGTGTCACTCATTCTAATAGCACATCCATGAATGACTAGAATTTCGGTCATTCTCTATGTTACGTGTATCCTATTGGATAGTTAAGTCTAAATATTCATTCCTAAATCACATTGTGTCCTAAGTGTGCCACTGGTGAAATACACAAAAAGGCTGAAGTTGGTGAGAGTTGAAGTTGGTGCCTCTCTCTCTGGGGCATCTGAATTAGATATGAAAGTCCCTAAGAGTAGACACTACAATTCACTGTTGGTTGACCCTTTATCTATAACCTGACCTTGAGTACTGCTTAGAGAGAAGGGAGTATCTGTGGAATTAGCAATGCACTCTTCTCCTGTACAGATATAATACATGATATATAGTGGCATATACAGTAATGTGTCAGGATAGTCCAAAATTCTAGACAGGGATGATGTGAAAAAGTGACATTATCACAATTAACAAACCCATGGACACACACACCTTCTTTTTCGGACTGAGGAATTTTTTTCTCTCTGTCAACGGACGAGATGCAGAGGATATTATGATCCAGTGTATTGTATTCTTTATCCATTAGATGCATTATAATGATTCATTTATACACCAAACTTTGTGGCTAACTGCTATGAATTCCTCTGTGGCCTTTCTTTATGTATCTCCTCCAGTAAATCACTCTCCGAGCCGTTAAGAGGCTCTTCAGCTGGTCTATTAGTGCCCTGGTCACAATTTATAGTGAAATGGGAAGAGAGACGGAGAGTAGGGGGAGAGAATGAAAAAAACAGAAAGATCAAGAAAAAAATGGGAACGCAGCCACGGGAGAAAGAGAATCTTCATGTGATTTTGGATTGTTCACACAAAAAAGTGGAATTGCATTAGTCCATTAGTCCATTTGTCCATGTAGAAACATCTCCTACTGTACATCATCACCCAGAAGTGAACTAATAATGGTCCATTTGTAAACCTCAGGAACCACACACATGTGGCACACCACTGCCACAACACACACACTTATTTTTCTTTACACCATTAAGAGCCTTCAGTGCTTTTATTTGTGCAGGAAGAAAAGAAAAGAAAGGCAGTTGTTGATTGGGTGAACATGACGACAAAAAGAAATTAACCCCAAAAGATTTTCCCACAAGTTTTATTCTCTGCAGTGTTTTTCATATCAACTAACTGGAAATAAG